AAAAAAAAAAAAAAAAAAAAAAAAATTGAATATGTCAGCACCTATTAATATAGACATACCGAAAATAATATTAGATAATGGAGGAGGCTTAATAAAAGGTGGGATACTTCCGAGTTATTCTCAAATAGATGATACCTTGTTTGAAGATATAGAACCAAAATTCATTGTACCTAATTGCGTAGGTCAAATAAGAAAAAAAAATATTTTTCATATAAGTGATAGCTGCTATAGTATATGTGAATACTTTTGTCATAGACCTCATGTGGATGGCTTATTATTAGATTTAGAAATGCAAACCAAAATATGGGAGAAAATATTTGCATGTAAGCAAACAGTTGGCAATAAAATAAACGACATGGCTATTTGTGTTACCGAATCTTATTTAACACCAGCATATATAAGACAAGGTGTTATTGAATTGCTTTTTGAATATTTTAATTTTGAGCAAATTGTTATTGTCTCTTCTCAAACAATGCTACCATTTTCATTTATCGGTTTAAATTTAGGACAGTATGACATTTTGAACCCTCCTGTTTTTAATAATGATTCGTTTTTAATAAAAAAAAATTATTTTACAAAAAAAAAAAGAAAAGGAGAAAAGGGTAAAATGAATTTAAAAAAACAGAGTAACTCAAAAAATAGCATAAAGGAGAACATTTCTTATAGTAACTCATTAAAAAGTACTAGAGAAAAAAATATAGATGAAGATATGGAAGTGGAACTAAGTGATATGAATAAAAAAGTTCAAAATGGTGAGAATGATGATAATTTTTATGAGAGAGACAAGTCAATTAAAAATGTAGAAGAAGGATATGATGACACGAATGTCTTAACAAATAAACATATTTTTATAAAAAATATAGAATGCTATAATAAATACACCTATAAAATTTACATGAGTAAAATGTATCATGGAGAAAATTGGCAAGAATACTATTTTAATTCCTTTTTTAACCTGAATTATGATAATAATAATCCATATGCAGATTTAAATAATACAGAAAGTGATTATTTCTTTAATAGTAATAACATTGTAAGTACGCTATATAATAATAATTATATAGGAAATAATTTCTTAAATCAAGACCCGAATTTTTTGTTACCAGAAAAAATTGATTTATGTAAAAGTTATTATGATAAGAATTTTAAAGACATAAATACATTTAAAGAACATTATAATAGCAGTTATATAAATAATTTTTATAGCAATATTTTAAATGGTAATTATAATTTATCTTTACGAAATCCGTGTGCTTTATATATTGATGTTGGTTATTCTCATACATATATATTGCCGTATATTGAATATAAACTTATTGAATATGCAATTTTAAGAACAAAAGTTTCAGCCTCAATTTTAAATACTTATTTAAAAAATACACTTTCTTATAAACACATTAATTTAGAACATAACGAATTATTAGTAGAAAATATTAAAGAGAGAGCATGTTATGTATCGTTAGATTATGTAAAGGATTTAGAAAATGAAAAGAAACGATTAGAAGAAATAAAAAAACAAAAAATCAAAGATAAACTCAATATGAGAAATGAGATGTTAATAAGAGAAATAGATCAAGAAAAGAATAATAATGTAAAAAATATTGATAAAGGAGAACAAAAGACAAAATGTTTTGAATATTTAAATGAAGATAACAATAATAATGATCTTAAAAAAGAAGATAACATGAATTATATTAAAAATAATAACAAAGTTTTAATGAGTTATGAAAATGAAAACAGTAATACAGTAAATAATAAAAGCTATGATATGTATGAAAAGTTGCAAAAAAAAAAAAACAATAAAAATAATGATTTAATAGATCAAAGTGACAATATATTGAATGTAAAAGATAATAATGGTAGCACATATGAAAATTGTTTTAGCATAAATAATAATTTTAACAAGTCTTTTAATCAGGATAGCAATGAAAAATTAAGGGATGAAGAAAAAAGAAAATGTGTGGACATATTTAACTTAAAAAATGAAAATAAAGAAATATTTGATGAAAATGAAGAAAATGAAAAAGAAAAACATAAAAAAATAAGAAAAAGTAAAAAAGTAGAACCACATTTATCTTATAAATATAAATTAATTGATTATAATAATGCGACGAAGCATGAAATAAATGAAGTTTTTGATACACTGAAAAAAAATTGCACTAATGATTGTATTCATTTAGAATCCGATTATGATTATAAGCAAGAATTTTCTAATTTTAAAGAAGATGAATCTATTATAAATGAATTCAATGTAAAAGGTTCTAAAAAAAAAGAGGATGTCATTAATTTAACAAATGAAAGAATAGGTATACCGGAAGTTTTATTTAACCCACAAGATATTAATTTAGAGCATTGTAGTATTGTTGAATTAATATATAGATGTATATCATTGTTACCAAAGGAAATTCAAAAGTATTTTGTTTCACAAATTTACATATCTGGTGGATCAACAAAATTTAAAAATTTTAAGCATAGATTATACAAAGAATTAAGAGCTATTTTCCCTACCGAATGGGAAATTAATATATATTCTCATAAGAATAGTTTATATAGTAATTATATAGGGACATATGTTTGGTTAAGTGATCAAAATATATATAATTACAATGTTATCACGAAAGAACAATATTTTAATCATGGAAAGAAAACTTAAATTATATCAAAATCATCATATTTTATTCACAGAAAAATATTATTCTTTTATTTTTTTTTTTTTAATTTATATTTATATATATATACATATGTACATAAACATTTAAGAAAAAAAAAAAAAAAAAAAAAATTATATGTCTGTGAACTATTTTGAAATAACAAATAAAAAAATGAAACAAAATAACTTATTTTAAGAAATTAAATTTTTTTTTTTTTTAAGGAAAATATGTATATATTAAAAAAAAAAAAAAAACCACATTTATATTTTGTTATACAATTTTTTAATTCCTATTTTGTCTATTTTTTAGTATACTACTAAAAAATTTTACTAGAAAAATTTATAAATTATGTTCTTAAAAAATATATTAAAAATTTTTTTTTTTTTTTATTTCTTTTTGAGTATGTAAAAAATCCAATGTAATATATAAATTTTTAAAGATACGTTTAAAATGAAATCCAAATAAAACATTTAAAAAAGAAAATTATAAAAACCATTTTAAAGTATTAAATGAATATTAAATAAATTTCTTAAAAACTATTACAAAAAAAAAAAAAAAAAAAAAAAAAAAAAAAAAAAA